TAGGAGAGACTTTTATTAGACTCTTTTTACAGATGAGCCTAGAATAGTTTAGGAACTTTCACAAGAGCACACAGCTGGTCAGTAGTGAAAACCAGGATTCAAACCTAGGTCCCTAGCCCCAAAGTGGGTGCTCTGTTTCGTAAGTTACTAATATCATGGCCTGCGTAGCCTGCTGTTTAACCAAAGGGAGGTGTGCTATGCCTCCCACACACCCCGGCTGTGGTGTGGCTGTCACTCTGTTGGGGGGAACATCTTGTGTCCCCAGACTGGGATTTACTGTACAGATTTCTGAGTGTGCTGGGGGATAGTGAAGATACTTTGGAGACACTCTGTTCCACCCCTGAAAGGTCAGTGAACTGGGAGAAAGCAGAAGCCAAAGAATGCCAGGATGGGAGAAGCTGCACAGGACGATGTGATGCTGCTTAGCAGCAGGAGCACGTGCAGAGTTTGGAACCTGCTACCTACTGCCTGGGTGACCTTGGAGAAGTGATTCTCTTCTCCACAGGGCCACAGGGCCCTAGTTTATTCCCTGGAGAAATGGGACTGATACTATAATGTCATGGCGTTATTCTGAGGATTTAATAAACGGACATGAAACACATACCAACTTTGGGGCATAACTTGCAGCTTGCACAGTATCAGGAGTGGGTAATAATGTTACTATTAGTATTGTGCAAAGCTCTGATTGCAGAAAAAAGACAACTCAGGGCCTTGAGGAAAATTCCCAGAGAGCCTTCACCCCAGAGTGCCAAGGGTCTGGGAGGAGGAAGGCTCTTCCTCCCCTTCTTTTCATGGACAACCACATGCAACCTCCCTTGGAGGAAACAAGGATGCTGTGCTTTCCTCTTGGAAAAATCCTGACTCCCTGGCTGACTTAAGATGTCAGAATGGCCTAATTTTTCCCTCCATGAATGAAACTGGCAAAAATAGTGAGGGAACGCTGACCTCTCTACTGGCAGGAGCCAAGCACCATGTCAGCATTCCAGAGCAGCTGCAGGAGGTACAGAGAACCCTGGAATAACACCTGCCCCACAGAACATTCTGCAGAGTGAGTACCCTATATAAGCAAAGGCAGAAGAGCTGCCTTCTTTTTTTTTTAAGTTTATTTATTTTGAGAGAGAGAGAGAGAGAGAGAACAAGTGGGGGAGGGGCAGAGAGAGAGAGACAGAATCCTAAGCAGGCTCTGAACTATCAGCACAGAGCCTGATATGGGGCTCGATCCTACGAACCATGAGATCATGACCTGAGCCAAGACCAAGAGTTGGATGCCTAACCAACTGAGCCACCCAGGCACCCCAAGCCTCCTTCTTTTTATTTTCCAAAAGGCACAAGATAATAAAGAGTAGAGTGAAGTAGGGTGTCAAGTGGGTAAAACAAAATAATAACCCACAATGTAACTGAGCCTGTACTGTGTGAGATCCTGTGTGTGAGCTTTGCCGGTATTGTTTAATCCTCACAATTATCCTACGAGGTAGAACTTCTCATCATCCTCATTTTACAGTTGAGGAAGCACTTATGACTTGCAGAAGCACTAAGTGGCAGAGGTGGGACACAGACCCAGGTCTCATCTGGCTCAGTGCCCATAGGCAAGGAAATCCAAAGGTCAAAATGCAGGGTTGGCTTCAGGGTCGTGCCTCTTTCATCCTTGCCTATGACTTCTGGCGTCTTTGGAGGAAATAGAGGAAGGTGACATGTCCCTTCCTGAGTTGGGTCCCAACAGCAGTGCAGAGAGCTGGGCGGTGCTCACACACATGGATTCAGGGAAAAAGGGACGAGGCTTAGAATGCAGAGGCCAGGGGAGGCCACGAAGCTGTGAGAATCAGCAAGAGGCCCATCAGCAAGAGGCCTGGGCGATAAGTCATTTCTGGCTCCAATTCTTTCATTACTGACACAGCTCTGTGACCTTTCTATAAAAGGTCATATTTGTGAAATGAGGGTGGTAGGAAAATGGAGGGGATACTGGATGGCCATTGACGCACCTTCCAGCTCAGAGTTTTTGCTGTGCACTAGAGGACGTCGACAGAACCAAACAACTCCCCAAACAGATGTCAAAGGCACTATGTTCTCGGGAATCTTTGCAAATAACACTCAATTTTGCCAAGACAGAAACAGCCACAAGAATACACTTCACTTTGCCAGAAAAAAAATAGCTACAAGAATAATTCATGCATGTAATGTTCTTGTCTTCTATGCCCTATGTAACTATGAATTAATTCTCAGAAGGACACAATGAGAGATTACAATGGCAACACCAAAACATGACAGCCTCTTTTTTCCAAGAAAAAGAATGGCTACCTCTTCTTGTAAAGAACCTCACCAAAATTGTGCCAGACTCAGAGGCATTTGCGATTGGAAAGACATTTGAAGGTCAACTAATGTGACTCTCCATTGGATGCCTCAGGGCCCTCTGCAATATCTCTGAGGGGTATCTAGGGAATGTCTAAATACCTTAAGGACCACCTGATCTTTCTCATATCTTCTATAGCTTGGATGCTTCCTCTACACCTTGTGTCCATACAGACCCCACCTAATCTTCTTCCATGACAGCCTTTCTGAAATGCTACCCTTGAGTCTTCCCTTCCGCAAGAGCAGTCAAGCATTCTGTACTTATGAAGATAGTCTGACCATGGAGGCACTGCTGTTTTTTTTTTTATAAGACAGATTTATTTGATCCACAATTATTCCAAAATGATTACTACTCCAAATAACCCAAACTGTGTTTTTTTCAACCTATTTTATCAGCAGCACCGAAAGCTGATTATAATCAACTTCCTCTCATAAAAAGAAGGAAAAAATTAAAAAAAAAATAGACTTTAGAAGAATCCACGTGGCTAAAAGTACCACTAGCAAGCATTCCACGTTCCCAAATAAACAAATAAGAACTATGAATGCACACTTCAACACCACTGCCCATTCCCGATGAGAATTCAAATGGCCAGCGTTCAAATCACAGAACCATAAAAACAATCCACAACCTCACATTGTATGATGTGGAAACTGAGGCCTAGAGATTCCATCTCTTGGCAAGCCAAATGTTTATTAATCCTCTGTACTGGGTTAGGCACTGGGGCTACCCAGGTACCCAGGCCTTCCCCTCTTGGGCCTCTGAGCAGGGACTCACAAGCATATATTAGGGGTAACCAGGTAATAGGCCTTTGGAACCTTGTACAAGTAACTTGAAAGACAAAAGGCTGATTCCTTTCTCTGTGCCTTGGCTCAAACTGCTCCCACAATAGCTTATATAAATCATACTTCTTGTACTTAGCCTCCGGTACTACATTTATCCTTCCTGTGTTGATCTTCTCTGTTAGACTTTAGGTTCCTGGAAACGAGGAACTGAGTGTTATTCAGCTTTATATGTCTAGTCTCATTCAGCTGGTGTGTACTGGGTTTGATGAGTGAATGAGTAAACATTTCAGTAGTCTTAAGGGTTAGTAGGCACTTGTCACACAGAGAAGGAGAAAAAAGAATGCCTGGCTGAGGATACCCAGGGCTCTGAAGGGTGTGGTGCTTGCAGAGCTGTGCTGAGTCCTCATGGTGGGAGTGTTCGGGGTGGTAGCAGGGGGCATGGCAAGAGTGGCTGAGGTTTTGGCTTGGGAGTTAAGTCAGGGCCAGATGTGAAAAGCCACACAAGCCATGCTGAAGCATACAGACATTACCCTAAAGTTAGGTTGAGGGCAAAAAGTCTTTACAAAGGAAGGGACATGATCCCATTTGTTTTTAAGGTCATAGGATCGGCCAAAGGAGGAACTGCCATGTCGAGGACAAATACAAGCGGGAGCCTGTTGCATGGTGCCAGAAACAGGAAAGGTCTGCATCCGGGTGCTGTGTCCCAAGAGCTCAGGGAGAGCCCCAAGGATGGAAGTAGAGTGTGGACCCAGGTTTGAGAGCTTAGGTGGAACTCAAAGGATTTGAGGAGTAACCTGAGACATGGGAGACTGGGAAGAAGTATCAACCATGATGCCAGCATTTCTAACTTGGAACCCCAGGGTGATACAATGTCAACAGAGGCAAGGACCATAAGAAGAGGAACAGTTTTGGAGGAAAGGTTATGAGGTCATTTGTTGAAAGATTCCTATGATAATCCCTACAGGCGGTTTCTATGGGTCAGAGCTACCTTGTTAACTAAAAGAGATAGATGAAGTGCAAGAAAGTCGGTCATGAAAAACCTAAAGAGTACAAGACGAATAGTTTAGTCCTCACAGAGGCAGATGGAACCTGATGATCTGAGGGTTGAAAGAAACCATTTCAGACCAGAAATCTTCTCTGGGTCTTAAAATGGCTCATTTCTCAAACCCTTAAATCAGCAGGTGTATACAAGATACTCTCTAGGCAATCAGATTCCATACCTTTCTGATTTTCTGGGCCCAACTGAATCATCTTCATAGCTTTAAAAAATTATTATTATCAGCTGGCGAATGGTCTCACACCATTTAATGAGTCCTAGTCACCAAGGAGAGTTCAGTTTATTTGAATTAAGTAGCCCCAGTCAGTCACTTTTCTGACTAACGACCTCATCTTTTTTTAAATTTAATTTTATTTTTTTTTCAATATATGAAATTTATGGTCAAATTGGTTTCCATACAACACCCAGTGCTCATCCCAAAAGGTGCCCTCCTCAATACCCATCACCCACCCTCCCTTCCCTCCCACCCCCCATCAGCCCTCAGTTTGTTCTCAGTTTTTAAGAGTCTCTTATGCTTAATGACCTCATTTTTTGCTCATCTTTTCACAATGCCAGAAGGTGTAGATATTGCTGGGGAAAAGCCCACGGACACACTCATGAACCAACCCCTTCTGCAGCAAAGTTAATCCATCTTTTTAATCTAGCAACATTCCTGTTTCCCTTATTTCATAGCAAAAGCTCTGAAGAGCAAGCCATGCACAGAACCACTGCTCCACTTAAATAAACCGCGAAAGGACTTTTCCCGCCCGTGTGGTTATCTTAAGTGCACAGAGACTGTTCTTGATAGAAAAGAAACCAAAAACTGCCAGCTTACCCTCTTCCTCAAGTTGTAGGTGAGAATGAGGTTCCGGGAGAAGGAGTGGGAAAAGGCTGTGTAGAATTCTAGCACTTTCTGCAGGGCATCCCGTTTGATCACATGCAGGTCACAATAGGTCAAGGCCCTAACATTGGCACAGGACTGGGCAAGGGTGGCTTCCTTCCAGAACACATCTCCAAACACGTCTCCTTTCCCTAGGGAGAGAAAGTGGTGGTGAAGAAAGTGTCAGCCAGAAGGCGTCTGGCCATCCAGGTTGGCTTCCCTTTGTCTCCCCAAATTGTTGTCCATTTGGCATTCTACAACTTAGGCTCAGAAAAGGAAAAAAAAAACCACAGGTTTCATTTTGAACCTTAACAACACGTAACTTAAGGAACTTTAAAATACCGTATAAGACATGTCAAAGTTTAACCAATGACTTTAGGGTCATTGACTGTTAGTTACCTCCTGAACAGCCTATCCAAATGGGGAACTCCCTATTATTCTTTTTTTTTTTTTTTTTTTTTTTTTTTTTTTTTTTTTTTTTTTCGAGAGATTTGCATTTAAAAAAATGTTTTTTCAATATATGAAATTTATCTTCAAATTGGTTTCCATACAACACCCAGTGCTCATCCTATAATTCTTTATCACACCCCCATTTCCCCAAAACGCCAATCATAATCTATAACTACATCATTTGTTTCCTTGTTTGCTGTGTAACTCCCAATAGGAGAGTTCCCTCCACGTCACACAGTGTCTGGCACCTAACAGGAGTTCTGTCAATATGTGCAGGCAAAAGAGAAGTAAGAAACAAGGCTGAATTATGGATCTCCATTCATGCGACTGACTGAGAGGTGACTAGTATGGAGAAGGTGTGGACTCTCCATCAGGAGCTGAAGATCAAGAGAGGTCTCCTCTGTTTAGGATGATCCGCGTGGAAAAAGGCAGGCGAGGGTGGAGTTCACTCTCTCCCATACTCCGTCCACTGCCCTAAGACTTATGTTTGCATGGTGTCTCATTCCTCACCCTCTCTCCCCCACCTCCTTCCATGTTCCTCACCCTTGCCAAAGGCCCTCCTGCTAGTATAAAAACATGGGCCCCATACACTTGGCATCTCCAGGACCCTCCATGCCTGGCATTCCACAAGAGGATATTTAATAAGTCAACAGAGTACTAATCCCACATAACCATCTTCTGGATCAAACTTGTATCAATCTCTTTTAATCACCTGCTTTTCACATCTAGGGATATTCTCCCTATCTTTCCCAAAGTCCAACATTTTCACATATGTCTAATGGAAAGCCCAATCCCTTCCCAGCACAGCCTCTGGTTATAAATGGCTTGAAATGTTGTTTATCTTGCCTCTAAATTTTCAGCACAGATAAACACAAATTTGAATCTTCAGGGAGCTGGAGAGGACTATTCCGGGGGCAATAAACAAGACTACGAGGGTAGAGAGTAACTCTCACAACCTTCAAGGGTTGTTGGCCTATGTATCCAGACCAGCCACACTTCTCTGCAGGAACCTGGGTACCCATGACTCCATATGATTAACAGGCAAGTGTTTTCCTCATTCAGGCCAAGGAGGCAATTAGACTCCCAAGCACCTGGACAGAACTCGATCTTTTCTCAAATGCCAAAGTATCCATTCTTATATATAAGGTACTCCAGGGGCACAGCCTTCTCCAAGCACCTCCACAGCATGAGCTGGAAATCAAGTGCACTAGACACATTACTTCACAGTTTCCTATGTGTTTGTGTGGCAATGTATACTTCTGATTTATGAAAATCATTTTTCAGACTCAGTATCAACAAGACACATGCATGAGGATGTAGATAAAAATTTTTAGATAAAAGTGCTTTTAAAACTGTGCTAGTTCAATTCCCTTCCCAGGTGTTTTTCAATCATCTGTTCTATGAGGGGGTTACTTTGGGGTGGGGGCCACTGCATGGGAATGCTTCTCTCTGTGGGATGCTCAGCTTCCGTGGAGATGGGCTCATTCAGTGTGTGCTTCCTGGTACTGAGTTCCAACCAACAAGGCTGGCCATTAGTTCATGCATAGCAAGCATTCTACAACTGCCCCCCCGCTCACTGTGCTGCAATGCCTCCCATGTATTTCATTTTTATGTAATCTTATTCTTCTAGAGAGAGCTCTTCCAACACGCAGTATGGTGGACAGTCAAAAAATGGACCCCATCTGTAGGCTGCAACTTACATCAAGAGGCAAGCCCTAATTTCCTTCCCCTTGATTCTCAACTTGTCTTAGTCCCTTGTCTTGAGTGTGACAGAAGTGACTGGGACTTTAAGGCAAGATCATAAGAAGCCTTGCAGCTTCAGCCTGGGTCTCCTGGAACACTTACTCTTAGGATGCCCATTCTTGGAACCCAACCACCACGTTTTGAGAAGAATAAGCCACGCAAGAGGTCACATATCAGTGCTCTGGTGGACAGCCCAGCTGAGCTCTCTGCTGACATCCAGCCTCTGCCAGTCACTTAAATAAGCCATCCCGGCTGGCCCATCAGACCAATCAAGCCTTCGGATGCCCGCAGCCCCAGCCAACACTGGTGTGCAGGCCACATGCAGAAAGCCCAAGTCAGAACCAACCAACTGGGCTAAACAACCCACAGAATGGTGAGAAACAGTGACAAATTCCTTACACCACTAAATTTAGGGGAAGTTTATGCAGAAATAGGTAACGAGAACACACAGAATTGTGGAGCTCTGGGCTGAGAAGCCTGTGAGAAATTACTTAGTAAGTTACTTAATATTTCAGCAAAACATCACAAATCACCCCCAACTCTGAGCTGGCAGCACCCCACATCCCTCCCTGAAAGAATGAGACAAGAAAGAGCAAGGAGTGGTTCTCACAGGAGCAGATTTTCCTGAGTGTTTTGTGTATCAGTGCGAAAATGTAGAATTTACAAATCTTGTATCTCCTATTGGGATGAGATGTGGTATAACTAAGCCAGAACAATTGAGAGTACAAGACCATTGGTAATACCGTCTGATTCTCATTAAGATTATAGCTGACCCTTGAAGAACATGGGTTTGAACTGCACAGGACCACTTACATGTGGATTTTTTCCAATAAATACAGTATGCCACCAAAAATGTATTTTCTCTTCCTTATGATTTTCTTGATAACATTTTCTTTTCTCTGGTTTACTTTATTGTAATAACACAGTATATTATACATATAAGATAGAAAATCCATCCTATATGTATCACGTGTTAATTGACTATTTTATCAGTAAGGCTTCTGGTCAACAGTAGGCTATTAGTAGTTAAGTTTGGTGGGAGTTAAAAGTTTTACATGGATTTTCTTTTTTTTTTTTCATTTTTAAAATTTTTTAATGTTTATTTATTTTTGAGAGAGAGCCAGAGTGAGAGCAGGGGAGGGGCAGAGAGAGAGGGAGACACAGAATCTGAAGCAGGCTCCAGGCTCTGAGCTGTCAGCATAGAGCCCAATGTGGGGCTTGAACCCACAAACTGTGAGATCATGACCTGAGCTGAAGTCGGACTCTTAAGCAACTGAACCACCCAGATGCCCCTATTATACGTGGATTTTCAACTGTACAGAGTGTCAGCACCCCTAACCCTCACCTTATGTAAGGGTCATTTGTCCTTCATTTATTTTTTCTTAATTTTTTAAATGTTTATTTAATTATTTTGAGAGAGAGAGAAAAAGAGAGAGAAAGAGAGACAGAGACAGAGCATGAGCAGAGGAGGGGCAGAGAGAGAGGGAGACACAGAATCCGAAGCAGGCTCTAGGCTCTGAGCTGTCAGCACAGAGCCCAACGTGAGGCCCAAACTCATGAACCGTGAGATCATGACCTGAGCCCAAGTCGGACGCTCAACTGACTGAGCCACCCAGGTGCCCCAATTGTCCTTCATTTAAAGAAAATCTAATGTATGAGCATTACACTTCTCAAACAAGTTTGGAGTAGTTTTTCCAATTATAAAAGAACCCAGAAAGTAAAATAATAGCTGCTCATGTGTGTTTAACATATGAACTTATCTGTAAAAATTCCGTTTATAAATGACTCTTCAGGGGCACACTTATTGCCTAAAACAAAGGACAACCATATGATGGTTGAGACACACCATGAAATTTATAAGCATCTTTAGAAATGACAACGTGCCCACTGTGAAAACTTTTCCAATCAAAGGTTTGACAGAAACAATAAGTAGAGAGTAGTTCCTACTACCCAAAGTATTTCACGGTAAGATAATCACGATTAATCTGTAGGGTCCAGGAAGTCTCAGTGTTGTTAGAACTTGGATTTGATTTTCAACCCACATTGAAAATCACACAATCTTTCTTCCTGTCAAGGCAGCATTTTTGGTATAAATGATCTGTTAGGGAGATTTAAGAATGTGGTGTCGGAGGACCCGTCAGATTCAAAACAAACCCAAACCTATTCTGGCAAATGAGAAATGTATTTATGACACATGTCACTGGGGGAAACTGTCAAAAGGAAGGATACAGAGCATTTGGCAGGCTGTTGTAAGCAACACACAGCTCTGGGAATGATGACTTCCCAGGTCAGGGTTAGGAATCAGGAAGGCTGGACAAGCCCTACACTCACATTCATCCCTTGTTCCCTAGCGTGAAACGATCATTCACTGAAGAACAAAAGTTACCCCAGTGCACTTGGCAGTCAAACTACTTGAGGCAATCAGCTTATTGGTTTACTTATTCCACTGAGGCCCTGGGTGCAGAATGTTAGAACCTAAGTGTTCCAAGTTTGTAAAATACATTCTAAGTGGAAGTTCCGAGCTAGGGAAAAGAAAAAGGCATGAAGAGGGGAAGTAAGGCAGGACAGTCTAACTAAAAACTCCAAGCAAACATCCCTGTGATAATTAATCCTCCTCCCCCTCCCACCCTTCAGTGCAGCTGTCTTCACTGTACCTCCACTTTTGCGGTGGACACAAACAGCCCCATAGGGCACAGACGTGGGACAGAAGAACATTCATAAAACACAGGTGGGAGGTGGGACACAGGACTGAGGAGGCACAGGGAGAGGGAGGGCAGGTCTCTGCGAGGAGCCCAGGAGAAAACCAAGACCCTGTAGATAATTGGTCTTAATGACGGGCAGAGGCTGGAACAGCCACGTGAGGAAGTTTGGAGGGGCATGGAAGGTGGGCACGCAGGGAGGGGTGACCAGGGCAAATGCTAGCGGTGCTGGAACTGGGTCCTTGGGAGGATCAAAAGCC